CATGGTAATCCATTATGTCATTCTTAACTCTGTTCATTACCATGCCTATGACTAACACACATTTACTGTGTATGTATCATTAATATTTCTCTCTCTCCGTCTATAAAATACACACAGAGTAAATATGAGTTTGCTGTAGGGATGGTTGCTAATGGACAGAGTTAAAGAATATACATATACTGGTGTATTCCCAATTATAAATGAAAAACAGAATTCAGAATCCATCTTCCCTTACCATAAAATGGAAAGCCAGTCTTTGTATGAATGAGTGCTTACAGTGTCCTGCTTCTATCACTCTTACTCTGAATGGGTACAATCCATCTAGATTGGCACGGACGCTTTTGCACAAATGCACTTTTTGCGGAAAAGCGTCTGTGCCAATCTAGACGCAGTTTTGCGCAAGAAAGCCCTGATCGCCATTTTCGCCATCATGGCTTTTTTGCGCAAAACAGTTTTTACCTGTCTACACTGGCTCTCTTGCGCAAAAGCATTTGCGCAAGAGGGCTTATCCCTGAGCGGGAGCATCATAATATTTGCGCAAGAACACTGACAATCTTACATTAGATCGTCAGTGTTCTTGCGGAAATTCAAGCGGCCAGTGTAGACAGCTGGCAAGGTTTAACTTGTCAGTCTAGACGCAGCCTTGTGGTATGACTTATAGGCTGTTTGTGAGAGGAACAGGTGGGAGCTGCAGCAGCAACGGGTTGTGAAGCACCCCAGGTTGCAGGATAGCCCCTCACTGGCCTGGGTTGCACCCCAGGATGTTGCCATAATTCAGAGACAAAGGAAAAAATATCAGGTCATTTACTGCATTGGGGCAGGAATGTTCTTATACTGTGTGTTTTAATTATCGCCTTTTCCTACCAAGCAGGGTTTCCACCTCTTCCCGTGGGAGGCTGTTTCATGCTCTACTAGCTCTGTTAATGTAATGAGTTTGTTATTGCTTTTCAGCAGTTCAGGATACTTTCACGATTACCCTTGGACGATAGGGCCTGATTGTGCGCACTCACTAGATTTATGGGAGCATGACTCTAATCGTTTTAATTGAGTTATTCCTAATTTACAGTGGTATAAGTAAAAACAGAACATGGCTGAAATAATGAACAGTTTTCCACAGGACAATATCAGTGCGCAAACGAGCAGGTATGCAGCAGACATTGCATCTCTGGCTGGGGAGTTTAAACGGCGCTTTCAGGACTTTGCAGCTATTGAAAAGGAGATCAGCCTTTTCTCCTCTCCATTCTCTGTTGACCCCGAGGATGCTCCAGATCAGCTGCAGCTCGAGCTCATTGAGCTGCATTGTGACAGCGAGTTACGCAGTCGTCACCAACAGCTCTCTCTTGTGAACTTTTACCGCCAACTGGATAAGAGCCGGTTTCAAGAGATTCGAACATTGGCTAAGAAAATGCTGAGCTTGTTTGGCTCAACATATATGTGTGAGAAGACATTCTCTGCTATGAACTTTAACAAGAACCGCGTGAGGACAAGACTAAGTGACTCTCACCTGCGTGACATTTTGCGCATCAAAACCACTGCCTTTGAACCAGACCTAGCCTATGTACTGCAGTCCAGATCTCAGTTTCACCCTTCACATTAGTTTAGGCAAGTTTTTTTTTCAATTGAGATGAATACATTGTAAAATCTCAGTTAATGTCAGTTGGTCTAACTCAGTTATAAATATATTTGGACACAACATGTATAGTTGGTGTTATGTCGTTTGCCGTTTGCAATAAACTTTGCATAAAATAGTTAATTTGCATTTAATTTTAATGGTTCAAAGAATGTCAGGCAAAATGGTCGGCCCTCACGCATGTTCACTTCATCAAATCTGGCCCTCTTTGAAAAAAGTTTGGACACCTCTGGTCTAGACCATCCCTGATAGACATTTATCTAACCTTTAAATTCAGCCACTTTTCAAGGACTTCCTTTAATAGGGGGGTCATTCTATCATGCGCCTTTTGGAAGGCCAAAATATTGAATATAATATGGAATAAAGGGCATAAGACTATTATCAGCGTACCAGGCAAAGAGTTAAGGGAAACAAACTTCTTTAGCATTGCTCACTTTTTCTATAACTTCATCCTTAGTAATATCAATAATTTACAGCAAGAAAATGGATCCAACATTATATTTTGTGGGCTGCTAGTGAATCTGGGTCACTAATGAGGAACATGTGAGTGATATACTGCATAAATTTAGGCTGCTTCTGCTATCTGGAACCCCTCCCTGTCCCTCTGAGCTAGAGAGTCATTCTTCCACTCTTCCCCAGAGTGATATTTTCAAAGCCTCAGAGGGCTCCATGTTTGACTTTCATTGACTTTGAGAACAAAATTGTTCAGCTCACAAGTAAAGCAATGTTTTTTTTCCCTAACTGCTGTTGCTGCAGGCTCACCCTGGGAGCTGAAACTCAAGTTGTGTTCTCTCTGTCATATGCATCACTGCTGGTAATTACAAATCTGCAGGCCAAATTAGACTGTCAGAAACCCCAGTGAAAATCCTCTGACCCTGATTCTCTATTCCACTATGGCCTCTTTCCTACTCTGTCATGTAAACAGGCCATGTCGCAGGTAGATCTTCCTACTGAGGAATACCCATAACCTACTAGGGTCCCTGAGCCCTTCTTGTGCCATCCACTGTATGGGGCATGCCAGGACTCAGGGAGTGTGTTGGGAAGGGAGGAAGATAGGGAAATCACAGCTATTCTTTTGGGGCCACAGGCTGACGGAAGGCTGCTGTAACTTAAGCTGGGGACCAAGCAAGTCCCTGGATTCCCTGATAATGAGGCAAGTGAAAAGGATACTTGTAGCCACCTTTGCCCTGTCTTTTGGTTTTTACACTTTAGCATTTTATTCCATCCTTGCATGTTATTTTTCTCTTTCTTCCTGTAAGGGTACAGCTTCACAGCAGAGCTAAAGTTGAATTAAGCTGTGCAATTTCAACTATGTTACTTGCGTTGCTGAAGTTGAAATAACTTAATTCATTGTTTAGTGGTGTCTACACAGCAGGAAGTTGAAGGAAAAACACTTCCTTCAACTTCTTTTACCCCTCATGAAATGAGGGTTACCATGAGTCAGAGTAAGAAGTCCTCCAGCTTGACATTATTTCAAAATAAAGGCTTGTAGTGTAGATGCACACTATTTTGGAATAACGTCAGTTATTCTGAAATAACCCTGCTGTACAGATGTACCCTAAGAGAGTCCCTTGAAGCCTTGTCCATCCCTTTCTGTATGCATGTAATGCTTGCTACATAGTTTTGAAAGAGAAGTTACATTGTTTCCATAGCAACAAACTGATGTCATAAATATAAGATTATGACTTCACTTGAGGATAAAGCAGATGGAGAAACTGGTATGTGAAGAATGGAGCCTTTCTTCAAACCCAAATATTAGCACTGGGAATACTGGCGATTGCTAGCAAAATTAAATTGCAACTTGAAGACTGAGTGTTGTAGGACACTGCAACACAGAGCATTTCGCCAAACTTGTAATTCACTTCACTGCAGATGGCCTACTCCAAAATCCTACGGAATTCAAGTGATGCATAGGTCTTTGTGTGGACTGCCTCCCCCTACACATAGATTCTTGTTTTAGCATAGTAAAGAATTACTCTAGATCCACAGGAATTTGGATAGCTTCTTTCTTTAGCTGAGCCACCATTCCATACCACTTTGATACCCCTGGGGACAGACTGGCTTCTTTGCCTGGCTTCTGTTTTCCCCTCACCCCCCATGTGGTCCACCTTAACCTGAGACACTCTTATCCCGAATCCAAATCCTATAACATTATAGGATCCGATTGAGTTGTCATACTACAGTGATTTAACCATGTATTATAGCTTAATCACCGTGTCTGCTACAGACACTAAGACAACTGTAATGGGACTGTAATATGTGTCCCTCCTCAGGCTTATTTCAAACACTTATGAACATGTTCAAGAGCATTTCAGGAAGTAACTGACAAGAGGGCGTTGAAATCATTGCTCCATTTTGGGAGGAATAGAGACTCTGAGATCATATTACTAAGGGAAGAGAGCATGTGTCTACTTTCCATTGTTCCTATCAGTTAAACATTTCCTCGGCCTGGTTCATTAGTTCGATAGGGATTCTTTGCAGTGTTCTGGTGGCACAAAACAGCCTTAAAGGCAGATTAAGTGACCATTGGAGAATTCCTCCTGAATAGTTGGATCTTTAATAGTGTAGAGCTGCTGTAGTGGCTCTTACCCCCCATTTGTCTTTTTCTGGCTGTCACTGAGCACTGAAGGGAAAAGCTGGAGTGTCTGGGACATCTCTTTTATAACTGATCCATAATGGCATCTGGAGACTGTGGATTTAAGTTGGAACAGTCTTTCTGGTGCTCTCATACTGGGGGATGACCTGATTTATAACTGGCAGCCAGGATGAAGAAAGTACAAAAGGGAGCATAAACCACCTCTCGGGACTCCTTTGGATTTCTGCTGAATGTTTCTTGGCTAGACCAAAAAATCAGGGCCAATATGTATTTTAAATGAGAGCTGTGGGGTTTACAATTAAACACCTAACTATGAAAGCTAACCTGCTTAAAATGTCCCATCACCATTTAGATTTCAGAATACTTTGTTCTTTCATCTAGAGTTCCCAAGCCCCTTCATACAGCTATTATTGTATTAACTTTCACCGTACTCCTGCCTGAGTTTGGTAATTATTTCATTTGATTGACACAAAAGTAAAGCGGGAGGGGGAGAGGGGGCATAGCAAGTCAGTGAGCTGTGAAAATAAAACCCAAGTGCTGTAGTTCATCATGCAGTTTTAACTATAGATTTTAACCATATTGCCTTGTTAGAGTCCCTATACACAATGTACTAGTACTGGGCAAAAAGATCCAAAGTTAACATCGCTGTATAATGGGTTATGGTATGACCGGGACCATAATATTACAGGTTAAATAGACTTAACATTAGTGGCCCTCTGCATCTTCTGCCTGATCAAATAAATGAGTCTTCCAGTGGATACACAGTTTGTAAACAGTATATATATTGTTATAAAAAGATCAATAATTTGGCAATGTTTGCCCAAAAGTTACAATACAATTGGGATTCTATAATTACAGAGGCTGATGGGCAACTTTCCAACCAATCAATAACACATGTCTGTGCATAAACTTCAGTACATGACTTTTATTAGACAGACTGGATCTTGAATTTGACCAGGATTTGTGAGTGGGCAACATTTTAGTAAATTAAAACCTGTGAGGAGAGATGGTTTATGTTAGTACAGAAAAAATTGACTTAATGCTTTAATTGTTAGTTTTGTAATTCATTATTGGATATGGCTTGATCTTGCATTTCATCACGCTTTTAATCAAAAGATCCAAAGGGATAAAGAAGGCCAAAATACACATTTGCATCAGCCACTTCTTAATGACAGATAATTGTATACTTTCATTAAATAAAAATCACAATTTATCATCAGTCTGTATATTGGCAGGACGATGATGCAACTCTACACCCCTACATTTTCAAACATGGGCTTAGTACCAGGGTGGTGTAGTATATTCTTTAGTAGGTAGAATTTTTATCTTAATTGATTGTGTTGCATATTTTCTGTTAACCCCAGTAGAGATGAGAGCTTTTCAATTATTTATATATGAGAATATCCATAATGGATGAAAAATGTAAGGAATTAGTCATGCCTGTCTGAACGACTGCTGTTAGATAAACATGAGTGTGATTTTTTCTTTAAAATAACAGTAATAAAAATTTACACTTATGTGAATTTACTGCTGGTGAAGATGGAATAACAGGCCCTTGGACTGACATCCCCTCTGTTTCAAAGCACACTTAGAAGAGTACAGTGCCCCTAGCATTTGCTTGTGGTTGAGAAGGGGCAACGGGATGATGATTCACAGATGATTCCCTGTTCTGTTCATTCCCTCTAGAGCACCTGGCAATGGCCACTGTGGGCAGACAGGATTCTGGGCTAGATGGACCTTCAGTCTGACCCAGGATGGCCGTTCTTATGTTCTTATTAACATGTGCCTCAAACCTGACCTTCAGGGATCCTGGTGGATTGTTCAGTCTCCTTGGGCATTCACTCCCTGCTTTCTTTGGTAGGGCTGTCAATGTGACATGCAGACACCTAGGCCACTGCACACCCATCACTACTGACAAACCCCACATGGCTCCCCTCCCACTTCTCAAGCAGCTGAAATTTATTTCCTCTGTTTAATAATTGGACAAAGCCACTGACACTCACCACCTTGCTCTCTGGGGCTTCTCACCACCCTGTCCTTCTGGGCCAGATTTCCTGGTCTCCCCAGCCAAGGCACAGAGCTGAGATCCCTACCCCCTCACCCTCCAAAGAGCAATACAGACACTGACTCTCTTCAGGTCTGAGAAGAATGCAGTTTTGGGCACAGCTTTCAGGGAACCTACTCCCCAAATGGGATCAGAACCCCAAATAAATCATTCCAGCAAGCCCCCTTTAATAATGAAAGGAGCATATACACACTGACTGCTCCCTCAGGTAACCCTTATTTACACTGGGGATGTTAAGAAGCGTGTAATTCATTAATTGTGTAGTTGAAAAAATGTTGTTGCCTACACAATTCATCCATAAGGGTTAGCACTGCAAGCACTCAGTGACAGCTTGCACTGGGTCCTGGGAGCTACCTCCACTGCGGCTCTGCACTGAAAGTCATTTAGGAGTTGGGCTGGCAGACAGCCTGGCTCAGTCCTAGCTTGCGCCGGGTCCTGGGAGCTACCCCTGCTTTGGCTCTGCACTATTATTTCAGAGCAGCAGTGGGGGTAGCTCCCAGGAGCCAGTGCAAGCTGGGATTGAACCAAGCTGGCTTCCTGCTGGCTTCTAAAATACTTAGAATACACTGCATGTGGTGTGGGGTGTTTTTGCACCGGTGGAGCAGCCTTACCTCAAGCGTGTTTTTGTGGAAAAAAACCCCAAAACTAAACAGTAAATCAACAGGACAGAGGGCTTTTGCCGGTAGAGTTATTCCTCTCCCCATGAGGAATAACTCCTTGCACTACAGCTCTTGCTCAAAAAGCCAGTTGTGGACACTCCGCAGGGGTTTCTAGTGCAAAAATAGCCTATCTGAAAAAGCACAGGTGCTCTGATGGCCATTCTGTTAATGTGCAGAGCCACAGAGGAGGTAGCTCCTGGGACCTGGTATGAGCTGGGACTTAGCCAGCCTGCTAAACTATTTATTGGCAGGGTGTGGAGGAAATGCACGTGCTTATCAGTTAATCATTTAATCAACTACACTATTACATCCCTAATTTCCACTGGGCTTGATTGTACTTCATAAAATCTCTTTTATTTACTAACAGCATGCACCACTGTGTGTGATTCAGCTCTGGTTCTTGGAGAGACAAGGTGGGTGAAATATCTTCTATTGGACTAACCTCTGTTCATGAGAGACACAAGCTTTATCATCTCGTCAGTGGTGTCTTGAGCAAAAACTTGATTTTTCTGCCTTTTCTGCTTCCTAGTGCTCCTCTCATCTCCTTGACACTGCAGAGGAGTGTTGTATCACCTCCCTAACCATATCCTCTCTGCGGCATCTTGGCCTCTTTCTTGTCTGCTGGAGCTATTCTGCTGGGGTGCGTGTCTCGAACTCAAGAGCCCCACTGAAAAGCATAGTGCACAAAAGAGGGATTGTTAAATTCTGTCTCAATATTTAAACATTTTGCTCACAAGCACCTTTTGCAACATATTCAGCCACTTTTCTACTGACCATTGCAAGGCACACCCCTGCAAGCACCATATGCACAGTGAGCGTGGGGAGTGGGAGTGGGTGAATATGTCCAAAATAAAATACAGTCTTTGCAGGGCTTGCAGGGCAGCTTTGCAGGGAACTCATTCTAAAATTATTCCCCATGCTTCCTGCGCTTCATATGCAACCTACCTATATTCCATTTTTGTCCCTGCATAAGTGATGGCGGAAGGGGATGGGACACAGCTGCACTGCCATGGAACCTGTAGCAGAGAATTAACAAGTACCTGCAGAAAACTTTCCAATGCATCTCTCTGGAGGATTCAATTCAGATCTCTCTGTGCCGATTAGCAACACAGGACAATATGCAGCTCACAGATATATGCCAGCCTCCCACTTTTCTATGCTTTACACCAACCACTGCACTCCACAAGCTACAGCCACATACACTGCATTTCATCTCCTGTTCCCTGCTCCCCAAAACACTGCTGCTGTGACAGGCTATGCGCCTCAGGAATGGAGAATAGTTCCAAGCTACCCGCCCCATTCAAAGCGCCACATCCTTGTCTAGATCAACCTCTTCATCTATTTTTCATCCTTCAGGTTAGGTTCTCTTTCTGCTGACTCCCTGCCTCTGAAGCCTCCACGGGGCTCTTGGTAGTGGAAAGGGGTCATCACCAAAGAGAGCGTTCATCTCCTTATAGAAGCAGCAGGCCTTAGGTACAGCGCTGGAGCAATGGTTCGTCTCCCTTGCCTTATGGTACACCTGCCTCAGCTCCTTTCTCTTCGCTCTGCACTGGAGCTTGTCCCGCTCACGCCCCTTTTCATACAACCATCAAGAAATTTGCCTAATTCCTACTGGTCACATGTACTGAACAGACTCCTTTCCCCATACACTGATCAGATCCAAGAGCTCTACAGTGGTCCATGTGGGAGAGAGATTGGTGCGATCGCCAGCCAAGGGTACCTGGGAAGACACTGATCCGGGACACTGAGCCAGCCAGCAGGAAATGTAGTGTAACCTTGCTGGGGTTTTCAAAGGGAAGGGGCGCATTGTTGTTTATCTGGCTGTGGGCAAGCGGAGTTCAAAGTGCTGACCAGAACAGCAGCACGGGGGTTGTGGGACACTTCCTGGAGGACAATAAAATGAAAAAGTGCCTCAAGGTGTCTACACTATATGTTGACAATAAAGGGGTGTGTGTGAAAAGTCTCAGTGATATGGAAGGTTTTTGTCATTTAAGCTGGGTGTTTTCTACAACACAAGTTGCATTGCAGTGTTTTACATGCTCACTGTTTTATTGGTAAAAGGCAGTTTTTGGCAAAAAAGGTGTAGGGTAGACAAGGCCTAAGAAATGTTGCTGATCAGTGTAGCTCATTGCCGAATTGATTTTGGTGTTTCATTCCTGTTTTAATAATCATGTAAGTTGCCCTGTCTAATAAGTCTCTGCATTCTTCTGTAGTTTTTGGAGTTACAAATGAGGTTACATGTGGATCGAATCACACCGGAGAAAATGCAAGAGGAGAACCAGTGCCTGAACCAGCAAGTTGATACACTGACAGTTGAGGTTATGGCATTACGGAACAAGGTGGGATCAATATAAACATAATAGAGGCACTATGGATTTTTTAAACTACTGATCAGTTGTTATATCTCAGTTTTGTATGGGCATGCTTTCTTTTGCACAACACTGTGTGTAATTATTGTATAGCTAGCATCATAATGCTATTTATTTCAATGCATTCTGAAAAGGTAACTTAGCCTTCTCAGTTATACAAGTTTTTGGAAAGCGTTCAACTGCAATGTTTTCATAAATTTCTTTGACTGCTGAACTATCAAATAATACAACAGGGAGACTGATTTTTTTTTAAATAAGCGCCGATACAATTTTAATTTTCTTTTTTAAAGTGAGAATATTGTGTAAATATTTAAAATACAAGTGGCACTTGACCTTCAATATAGCTAGGGGAAAATTGCTTTTATTACTGTAGGCAGTAAAAGATGGTTCTACCCCTGTGGAATACTGATTCTTCAAATTACATTCTGGTAGCTTTGACACAATAATAATAATAATAATGAAAAAGTTTGTTACAGTATGAACCTATCCAAATAATGTTGCTAATACTCATGAAGAACTCTTTGTTTTCTTAATGATTAAGACACTTCACCCCACTCCCCAAGTAAATCAAATTAGAGCTGGAAGATTTATCAAGCTTGTTTGTCCTATGTTATGTAGCAGCATTTACCAACAGATTTGGATATTTTTAAGTGACTCAACTGCAGTGGAAAGGTGCCTTAAAAAATGGTTTGCTTTCTCTGTCCTCACAATGATAACAAAATAGGCAGATTTATTTGGGCATAAACTTTCATGGGCTAGAGCCTACTTTGTCAGATGCGTGAAGTGGATCTTCATATATCTGATGAAGTGGGCTCCTGCCCACGAAAGCTTATGCCCAAATAAGTTTGTTAGTCTTTAAGGTGCCACAGGACTCCTTGCTTTTGCTGAAACAGACTAACACAGCTACCTCTGAAAAAAACAGGCAAAGGCATTGCAAAGTTTATCCCTACTGCCAGTGTACCTTAATCCTGAGCTAGAGGATGAGATGGTACTTTAGTCTCTATCCCCTATTTAGTTTTTTGGCCTTTCTAGGGAGATATCAGTTAGAGCCAGTTGTGAAGGGCAGTGGTTTGGACAGCTGTCCTCTATAATGATTAGCAGCATCCTCAGACCTCATCACCTCAGTCCCAACTCTTGAGTTCTGTATTGGTAGAGAAATGAATTTGTCTCTGGGTCAGTGTTCACTCAAAGCTGCAGTGGGATAGTATGGAGCATTGGACTGTAGGAGAAAGTGTCTTTTGGATGAGATGGATGTTCTGATTCCTTGTGGTCATTAAATATGTTGCCGTTTATACATGACTTTGGATATTAACCCTGTATCCTTAGCTAATTGTGATGAGAGCCAATGCATTCCACGTACCTACATTTATTCTACATTTTAATGAGATACTGTGTTCTTCCTAAACTTTTAGTGCTGTTAAATAATGGCTATGTTTTGCCCCACCTGTAGCTGTATTATGGTAGTGGGTGCAATGATTCCTGTCTATCAAGTCTGTAAAGTATTTTAGGAGCTGTTTAGATAAGCAGATAGAGTTATCATTCAGCTCAAATCACAGAGAAGACACACACTGCATATGGTCCAAAATTACTTCCATCCTGAGGGTCATTTTAATTAACTTAAATAACAACGTAACATAAACCTCAAAGTAAGCTGTCTCGTGAGGTTGGCTGTTCCATGTAGACTTTTTCTTCTGCAGGATCTCTCTGGTTTTGCTCTAGTTCCTTCCACTTTATAGGGGCACTCGAGTTTTCTTTTACACCTGGGCTGAACTAAATAGGGAGCAGCTCATATGACAACAGAGTAAGTCAGCAAATGTAACTCTGGGTAGCTAGATTTTTGAGAGAGCTCAGAACCGAAGAGAGCTTGTTTGCAAATCTAGCTGTAAATATTGGCACTGAAAGATGTGGGTACTGTAGTCTTGGGAAAATCTGGCCCCCCACAGTCAAGTATAGACCCTCCATGATGTAATGGACTGGTAATGATGTAATGCTCAATGCTTTATTAAAGGACTTGGTCAGAAACCAGAGATTTGGGTTCAGTTCCTACCTTTCGGCTGTGTCTAGACTGGCCAGTTTTTCCGGAAAATCAGCTACTTTTCCAGAAAAACTTGCCAGCTGAATTTCCGCAAAAGCACTGCCGATCTCATGTAAGATTATCAGTGTTCTTGTGGAAATACTATGCTGCTCCCATTCGGGAAAAAGTCCTTTTGCGCAAAAGGGCCAGTGTAGACAGCTCAGATTTGTTTTCTGCAAAAAAGCCCCGATTGTGAAAATGGCTATCAGGGCTTTTTTGCAGAAAAGCACGTCTAGATTGGCATGGACGCTTTTCCGCAAAAAGTGCTTTTGCGGAAAAGCGTCCGTGCCAATCTAGACGCTCTTTTCCGAAAATGCTTTTAACGGAAAACTTTTCCATTAAAAGCATTTCCGGAAAATCATGCCAGTCTAGACGTAGCTTTCCTGTGCATTTCCTATGTGATAATGGACAAAACACTTCATCTTTCAATTTCCTTGTCTGTAAAACAGTGCTATCTAACTTGTAGTGTCTGTCGAGAAAAGCACAAAATGAGTATTGTTAAAACATATTTATGAGCAAGTTTTAAAAATATACTGTGCATCCTAGTCAGGAGGGTGACAGACTTGCTGGGCCCCTAGGCAAGGAGTATGTGGTGGGGCTGCTCTTTGCTCCCAGAAGAGGCAAGGCAGGACTGCCCAGATCACAGTGTCCCCACAGCACTCCACCTCCACAGACAGCCCTAAGAACCTCCTAGAGAGTGCCACCCAGCACTCTGGCAGTGATTTAAAGGGCCCCGCAGTGGCTGGGAGCCCTGGATCGTTTTGAAATGCTTGGCCCTGGGGCAGTTCCAACCCTTTCCTTCCCCCCCCCCCATTGGTGGGTCTGATTCTAGCTTAGATAAGTCCTCAGCAATGTAACGCATTTAATTTTTTTCATTTGATTAGAAGGTACTTTAAAAACGCTAAGCATTATTTCAGTCCAACTGAAGTGTCTTTTTCCCAGTAGCTGAATGGAGTATCATTTAGGGCTTCCATTCCAAAACTAATGCTGCTTTCTTATTTGTAGTCTCTTTTTAGGATAGAAAAGACCTACAGAGGCTAATTTCAATCACTTATTATACATTAATTTTAGCACCGATGTACATCTGGCAAACGAATACAGTCCAATTTAAAATGACCAAGAAAAAAAAAAGACTTTCAAAGAATTCTCATAAGCTCTATTCATCTGTGCTTTTAAAAGCTTGCTCTGTGCTAATGTTTCTGTCCGAGTTGGGTACAAACAAACTATTCCCACTGTAAATAACAAGCCTGCAAAATCCACCTCGTTGAGATTTGTGAATTGCTTTGTTTCCAAGAACAGTCTTATAGTTAGTGTCAGCTGTTTTTTCTCCAGCTTACACTCACACTCCATTAGAAATTCTATACTGGATGCCCATTGAGTCTGAGGTCACTGTGCTTTCTGCCTAGCTGGGGAATAAAACGTCTGATACTGGTCTTGACTGTTACTGATAAAATACTTAACTGTTTCAGATAGCTCACTCCTCAGTCATGCACTGTCCTCTGAAATGCTTTCCATTGTGTCACTGTGGAATGCACGTGCACTTCCAAATGTCCTAGCAACAGTCAAAAGTAATCGGAGGCAGCTATGCAAAGAGAATACCGTCTTTTTAGAAGGCTAGATTTCTGAACCAAAGGCAGATTTGGAAACCACTGCAAAGCAATTGGACAAAGACCTTATATTCATTGCTTTTTCTGGGAATATTACCCAATGAAGAGAGAGAATATTACAGAAATTGTGAGATGTGTAGCACTCGTGTGTGTGTATCTTTTCAGATAACGATGGCACCAGCTGTTTTTTATTGTCAGAAAATCTTTTATGCTACTAGAATCGTCTCTTGCTGCCTGATCACATTCCTTTTTTTGATTGAGGAGCCATGAGATGTTTAAATTAGAAGGGAGCTCCTTTACTTTTTGTATAATGAAGCACTCACCATTTACTCTTGGTATTTTCTATTGCTCACCAGTTTCTTTGTACTGAGGATTTGCACAGGCATAGAGAGAAAGGAAGATTATACCACGGTAACTAGAGTTCCCTTGATATATCATGTAGATCTATACCACCTCTCCTTCCTTTCAGCTTCTTTGTGGTTAAATTAGCTGAAGTGTAAAAAAATAGAAGATGATCACAGGGCACTTTCTTGTTACTACTGCATCTTGGAATAGTAAATCCATGCTCAGTATGCATATCACTTCTGTGCAACAGTCATACTCCTAGGCCATGTCTACACTATGTGGAAAATCATTGCTGCTGCGGTCAATATTCTGGAGTTTGATTTAGTGGGTCTAGTGAAGACCCACTAAATCGAACTTAGAGGGCACCTCCTCCCCAGTTGGCACCAGTACTTCTGCTTCTCACAAGGAGTAAGGGAAGCCAGCAGAAGCATTTGCTCCCATTGGCCTCCTGCTGTATGGGCAGCACAGGAACTCTAACGATGTAATTAATGTAGTTGGAGATATGTATCTTAATTCAACCTTCCACTGTAGTGTAGTCTATGCTCTATTGAGTTTTTCTGTTAACCACGGCATGAGGTGCCTCCAGAGAAAACATTTAGAAGACATTTCATCAGAGAGGAGAGCTAAGTAACATTCACAAGATCTTAAACTCTTAAGGTATGTCTAAACTACATCCCTCTTTCGAAAGAGGGATATAAATTAGACATATTGAAATTGCAAATGAAGCCAGGATTTGAATTTCCTGCGCTTCATTTGTGTAATTGCGTCACGGCATTCTTTCAAAACATGCTATTTCGAAAGTGAAACCGCAGTCTAGACACAGTTCTTTCAAAAAGAAAAGCCTTTTTTGAAAAATCCTGCATAGAAAAAGGCTTTTCTTTTTGAAAGAACTGTGTCTAGACTGCGGTTTCACTTTCGAAATAGCATGTTTTGAAAGAATGCCG